AACAAAGTACACACACATATGTATCTAGAGATAGGAAACCTTCAAGAGCTTCTTTGATTTTGTGCTTTTTCTCATAGGGCAGGTGGCGTTTGCCACTCAAGCTCTTTCGATACAAGTACTATTTTGTAGAAGATAAATAAAGGCCATCTAAACACGCCAATGAAAAATGTATCCAAATCACCAAACTGAATGTGTGCATTGCTAAACATTTCTACAGAGGCTGGGATTAGAATCTAACCAGTTAATGATGAAGGAACTTTCAATAGTTGATTACAACTTTACCTTGTCGTGTGAATAGGCATGCCATCATGGTGTAGTAAAAAAGGAAAGCTGCTCAAATTGATTATCTCATTCAGGAATTCAAAAACAAGAAAATGAGCATTCCTAACTTAGTCCAAATGGCCTCCACTGAAGCCAACTTATTAGACGATATGGGGTGACTGATGCTGCACAGGACTAATGCTGATATAAGGTGACTGATGCTGCATATTGATGCTGCATATTGATGCTGCATAGGACTGATATTGCATATGACTGATGCTCCATAGGGTTTTAAGGTTACTAGACGATATGGGGTGACTGATGCAACATCAGTCACCCCATATCAGCATCAGTCACCTCATATCGTCTAATACAACTCAAAATTAAAAATACCACATATGCAAACTCAATTATTTAAAAAAAATTATATTACATTTAGCATAAACAAGAACACGAACATAGACAAAAGGGATAATAAATGACATACTTTAATAAAAATTCACCATTACCAAGCACTTGAAAGTTATAAGTACTTAAAGTGACTTGTGTTATCAAGCTTGAAATTAAAAAGATTATATAGAAATAGAATAATAATGACAAAAAATGAAAAGACTCACAATCAATTACACAAGGGTATTGCTTGATGTGGTGCAACATGTGAAATGCTTTGGAATTTATACAAGTTAGAAAATAAAATTAAGCTCCTATCACTCTTTGGATACATAAAGCATCTAGTGTGATATTTATGTGCTTGAAAGATCGAATAACTTATAATGAGAGGCTTGAAGCGTTGAATAAATCATGGTTTGTGGTTTTTTAGCTTTTCTTGGGTATTGTTTTTTCTTCTTCTGGATTATCGTCTTCTAATTTTTCTATTATATACTTCTCACTTTTCATCTTATCGGAAGCTTGCAAGAAATTTTCACCCCGATGTAAACAAGTGAGTCAGTTGTGCCAGCTAAATTTTGAATAGTAGTGCTTACCATTTGTTTTGCCTTCTCTCCCTTAATGTTACTTTCTACCCGTTATTCTCTGTATTTGGTCCTATAAAAAGTGGGGTTATCTCAGTTCACTATGTTGCAATTGAATGTTAAGAACATAAGACATATCTCTACGTGCTCATTTTCCATTAGAGTTTTGGGCGTGTATTATTGTGCTGGATATATGTACACACTTAGTAGTCAGGCCTTAGAATTTTTGGACATAATGCTTGAACGTTCATGGTTACTTTATTCTTTTATATTCAGAAGAATATTCTCCCAAGACCTTGCCTATATTCATATCCTTTGTCAATAGTAGAGATCTTTTAAGTGTTTCTTCCTTCCCTTTTCCCTATTCAAGTCAGTTTAAACGTTTGTGATGATGATAGGCTAGAAATGATGAGAGGCACATTCTAATACTAGTTTGTTTCATCTTCAGAGTTTGGGATATGTGCTGATGCGGTAAAGCTAAAGCTGCTAGAGATGCTATATGTTTATGGGATTTAGCAACTTATGACTTAAGTCTTAGGCTTGTCAAACAAAATGTGTGAGGGGTTCAGTACAGTAAATTAAAGTTCGAATGAATATTTGTAAAGTGGGAAAACAAGTTTGGATGTGAAAAGGGCAGCTTGCTAGAAACCACTTGCTGTCTATTTTCTTGGAGCTATGTGGCTATTTTAAAATTGGTGGACCAGAAACTGACCAAAATTCCTTGGGCCCTCATCTCACCACCCATGGTAAATGACCAGGAGAGTTTATTTTAGTTTAGTCAGTTTTCTTGGATTTAAAGACACAAAACATGATTGAAGCATTGAGGTGGAAGTTATTCTGTCGAAGCAAAATGTCCACATTTAGGGTGCGTTTGTTGCACCGGACTATCTCGGACTGGACTAGCTTCAGGGACTAAGCTGGACTGGCTTAGACTAGACTAAGCTGGACTGATTTAGTGAAGCGTTTGGTGCAGTGTCGGATTAAAAAGCAGGACTAATATATTTTATTATTAAATTTATATTTACAATATTTTATCATTAATTTAATCTATATATACTAATATTTTATTATTAAATTATCATTTTCCTTTTATCTTCTCTCATTGTTTTGTCCGCCAGCTCTCCCCTCTCCTTTTCTCTGCCATTTCATCTCCTTTCTAGAACATCTTCCTCTCTCTTCTTTTTTTCCGCCCATTGCATCCCTCCCCTCTCCTCTTTCTCTACCATTTCATCTTCCTCTCTCTTTTTTTTTGTCCACCCAAATCTTCCTCGGACTCCAAATCTGCCTTGCCCTGCACCAGCGACTCCACCTGCTGCTGGCAGAGAATTCAACGACTTGAGGTTCTGGAGCTTCTCGGATGGCTCGTCCATGGCGATGGTGGCGGCAGGAAATATGGGATTGGGGATTTTTTGTGGGTGATGGTTGGTGGTGGGAAATTTGAGATGGGGGATTTTTTATGGTTGATGTTGGTGGTGGAAGAACCCTCGCAGGGAGGAGGAAGAAGCCCAGAACTCACAGAAGGGCTCGCAGGGAGGTGAATCAAGCAGGACGAAGAGAGATGCCGTCGAAATCGAGGTCGATGAGGTGAATCAAGCATAACGAAGCGAAGTTCCTAGCTAATCCCGTGGTTTTTGGGGGGACTCGTGAAGACCGGCTAGCACGCCTCACAGGGACTCGTAGTCGAGGCGAGTCCCATTTATTTTAGTCCCACAACCTACCAAACGTAGGATTATAGTCCTACTTAAGGTAGTCCAAGCCAATCCCTCCTAAGGAGGTGTAACAAACGTGCCCCTATAGATCTACCTTAGGATTCAAGACAAATAATCTAATATGGCAGTACATTTGAATCTTTTTGCGAACATTCTGTTATAGAAATTATGGAGATATAATCATGTCTGGATTTTTGAGATTGCAGTTTCCCAAAAATCAAACTTCAAAGTAATTAAAATTCAGAAAGTGGATTAATCATCCTTAAACCCAGGCAACCAAGAAAAAAATTACAAACCTAACTAAGATTCTCAACCAAATTCATTACATAAAATAACTTAAAATTACAGTGATAGAACAAATCTAAGAAAAGCACCATAAAGTTGGGACTAACAAAAAGCTAAAGGGAAAAGGATAGGATCTAGAGATTGAGAACATACCCAAAGTTTTGGAGAACAAAAGCAGAAAAACCCTCTGTATTGGGGATTTCAGAGCTTGAATGCTCGAGCACTTCGACGGTGACGGAAAGCAGACGAGCGAGTGGCTAAGGGAGGGAGACGAAGGAGAGGTTGTGGTCGCCGTCACTGCAACCACCAGGTGGTTGGTCGTCGGAGTGAACGCGAGGGAGTAGAACGAAGGCGTGCTAAAGATGGGATGGGTGAGAACAGTGAAATAGGTTTTACAATTTAGGGGTTTTGTAATTACTTTCAATATTTTTTTTTAACTTTTTTTACTTTAATGTTATATGTGAGGAATGGTCAGGTGGCCTTCTCTTTCGTTATGTGATGAATGTTAAATTTCGTCACATATTCACATTTCATTGGGTGGCGAACTTTCCTGCTCACTTATGTGTGACGAATCTAAAAGTAGAAGTGATGCAAAATATTTTGGTGTCCTACGAAAATCTTAATGTGACAATTTTCAAAAAAGCGTCACCTCTTTTACCCAAATGTGATGAATTTGCACGTACCACAAAAAATTCCGTCACCTAATCCATGTTTTCTTGTAGTGTTTGAAACATGGATGAAGGGGAGGAAGGACAGATAATTTGAAGATCAGGGTTTAGAATTGCAAGGTAAAACAACAATAGATGGGATGGAGGATCAAAATATAGCATGGGAAATATAAACAAAATAGATGGGAAACGAACTAGAGGTTGCCATCGACGTCGGCCACAGCTAGGGACGACGGTTAAACGAAAATCAGATCGGGAAAGCCCACACACAAACAATGCAAAAAGTTCTCATAGAGAGAAAAGAACTCTCACCAAAACGGGAGAAAGTAAGGTTATGATTTTTTATCAATGAAAGTATAATTTCTCAATATTCTTGTTTGCCAACGAAGGGATCACTTAACATATCACTTGATAGGAAAATTAATGGAAGTTTATGAAAGTGAGAAAAAAAAATAAGTATAATAAAGTGCGATTTTGGTAAAACTTAAGGATAGTAAAGTGAAAATTATCAAAAAAATAAAAATAAAAAACTATAGTGTCCAAATTATGGATGTCGTTAATGAAAGACTACCAATGGCATGCAATTTGGGTGCCCTAAAAAGTATGCTAATCGTTTACATATTATTAAAACATATATTGGAAATTAAATTCAGAGGTGGTTACAACTAATGTGCCATGAAAATGATGTCAAGCGATGGACCACTAATCTATCAGGTTGATGACGAAAATGGGTAACACAATATCGATATACAATAATTGTTTTTGTAGAAATTGGAACTTGGATTTAGAGCACCTGAAATCATCATGTACTTGCTGGTATATGGTATATAGGTTGCTAGTATTGGAATCCTGTACATTGATTTTGTGATTATAAATAAATTCACATTTGGGTTTAGATCCACTTCCAAGGGTGTGATTTTAATTAAATACACCCTAACTTACTTTGATTTTGTGATTTTAATTAAAGAAAAACATGAAAAAATGCTTGAAAACTTTGAGTTTTAACGAAAATGACATAAAGATGTTGTAAGTGAATAGTATTAGGATTGACTTTTTAGAGTAAAAATGTGATTTTTCGTTAAAGTGAAGAGCACCGGGAGCTTTAATTAAAATTAAACTGAAACTTGATGAAGATAATGTATGCTTGTATATCTATAGTCTATAATATAATGGATAATTCTTATTATAAAACATAAAAATTACAACATCTAACCGTAATTGTGCGATTAATTCAAGAAGCCGTGACCATAGCATCCAATATCTTCTCGATCGCTACGGCGGTAGCTTAGTCTTGATTTACGAAAGAAACCACCTTTTTCACCAAGTCCACAGCATTGTCACAACTTGGGTTGAACAAATGAAACACGTGGTCCTCCCCTTGGCTCTCCACAATCTCAACCACCCCACCATACCCACTCTTCTTCAACGCCTCGTGGTATGCCCAACCCCTGTCCCTCAAGAAATCCTTCTCCGCCACAAAAACCAACACCCTCCCGCACCCAATCTCTCCCAATTTCGGATCGTTACCCGGCCTCACCCTCGGGTCATCCGACCCACCACATGTCGGATAAATAACCTCCAACAACTTATCGGGCTCGTCATCCATGAAGTAGGGGTGAAACAAAATCATCCCCACTATCCTCGTCCCGCTCAACCCATCGAGCCCGGCCTGGCGCACCACGTGGTGCGTCAGAGTGGCGCCAGCGCTGTCACCACCTATAAAAACACGGTCAAAGTCAACGTGATCGTTGAGCCAGGCCTCGGGCCCGTTACGAGTGGAATGGGCCGCGGCCCATTCGACTGCATCCCAGGAGTCTTCAAAAGCAACGGGGAGTGGGTGCTCCGGGGCACGCCTGTAGTGCACCGACAAAGCCACGACGTTGGCTTCTGAAGCCAGTAACCTGACGTGTTTGTGGTAGAGAGGAGAGTAGGGGGACTCGATGACGAAAGCGCCGCCGTGGATGAAAATAAGGAGAGGGAGTTTGCGCGTCGGGTCGGGGAGCTTGGGGAGGAAGACGCGGGCAGAGAGCCCGGATTGTGGCGAGAGGACGATGTCTTTGCATTGGACCCCGGTTGTCGAGTCGGTGGAGGGTGGGACGGTTTCGATGCCCTTGAATCTCTCGGTTCGGCCGTCATTATAGATTCGGAAGGCGGTCGGGAACTCGAATGATACTTCGCTGGAGGGTTTAGAGTCCATCGGAGTCGCCGGAGATTTTTTTTTTGGTAAACTATTTTGTTTTGTTTTGTATTTGGGTTTTCGGGTTTTTTGGAAGACAATGAAGTGAATGCTTTGTGACTTGTTTGGTAAGATAATAAAATGGAATAATACGTGGTTGGTTGAGAAGGTCCACAAATGGCGTTTCGCCGGCATATGGATGCAAATTTTCGGAGAAGGATCTTCGTTGGATTTTTTTTTTTAGGAATCTTTGGAATTTCGTGATTATAACCGTTTATCGTATATCGTGTAAATTTTAAATCATTTTAAAATTTAAAATTAAATATAAATATTACCTAACGAAAATTGACCGCACGTTGTACGGTCATGGTCCGGTTCCTTTTCCACAAATTTCAACAATTACCAATGATTTTCTGCCACATACACAAAGACAATGTTAGCTGGAATGAGGATCCTCTCCAGATCTTCTTTGTGAGTATCTTGGAGATTCACAAATCGTGTCCGTTCATTGTACATCGTGCGGTCAGTTTTTATCATATACTATTCATATTTAATTTTAAATAAATGTATTTTAAATTATTTTTAGATGCATGATGTACGATGAACGGGCACAATTTAAAGGTTCCCAATGAGGATCCGGATAGGATCCTCACTCTGTTAGTTGTACCACCTTTCCACTCTCTATGCATTGTTGTTCGAAAATTAAGAAGAGTGTTTGAGAAGTAGAAATTGGCGTGTTGAAAGCAATATCTTGTTTTCTATTGCATTTGCGTGTAATGTTTATAATATGTTGGGCTTGGCTTTTAGATTAACTTGAAACCGAAGCTGCACCAAAAATGAGAGGCCAAGACCAATGAGTAAATATGGAGGATGGTGATTGAAATTTTTTTATAAACAAATTTTTTTTTTAAGTTTAGGCTAAAGTTGTGTTTGGTAAATGAAAAAAAAAGTGTTATTTTTTTATCAAAATCATGAATTCAAAAAAGTATAAAGCAGAAGCAGCTTTGCTTCTGAAAAAAACGCTTTTTGCACATCACACCAATTCCAAACTAACCCTTAAACTCTGGAAATGTTGAAAGGGTGTATGAATGACTCTTTATTTTGGGGTTTAGAAAGAAATTAATTGTGAAGTAAGCCTCTTCTTTCTAATTAAATCGTCTATACCAGACGAGGCCTAAAAGGTTGAGAATATAATTGAGAATATAATTAGCTACTGCTCATGGTTTTTTGGAGCTTGTGGAAGGCGCGGAATGATTTGATATGGAGAGGAGTTCCGGGTGCACTAAGGGAGGTGGCGCTGCGAGCGGGGGAGTGGATGGTTTCTTTTCAGTAGTTTCATAAACAACCAAAGGTATCGCGGTCTTGTGACCAACAAAAATGGAGTCATCCACCCTCGAAGTGGTTAAAGTGTAATTTCGATGGTGCTTGGTCAAAAAACTCGAGTGTGGAGCCAAAAATAATCAAGAAAAATATGGAGACGACACGAGAATTTTTGGGTAAAAAAGATAAGATTACCCTCGAGACACACCGGGATTTCTACGCACGAGCAGCGAGCAATCATCCCTCAATCAAGTCAAAAGTGCCTAAAATAGGTATTTATTCAAAACCTATCTCATCCATCCTCATCAAATCTTCTCCACAAGGTAACCCCCAAATCATTCATTTCTAATTATATTACTTAGCTAATTAATTATATTAATTAGCTAATTAATTGATTAATTATCCAATTAATTGATTACTTATCCAATTAATTTATTAATTAGCTAACAAATCATGAATCTCACCCAAATAACCATCCAAGTGGCCGATCCACATCCTCCCAAAGGGGCCGACCACACCCCTATAAATACCATCTCATTTTCTCCAAAACTCAATTCCAACTCTCTTACAAAATTCTCTAAAGTCTTCAAACACTTATCCCTCAAAATTCTAACTTTGGCATCAGATTCATCGTGGGCGCGTAAGGCTCTTAGCCTTGACCTAAGGTGTTATTTATTTTGTAGTTGCAATTTTGTCTAAGAAGAAGAAGACGGAAATTTGCATCCACATTGAGCATAGGTGGTGTTGGAGCCATCATTCGGGATCATAACGGAAATTTTTTAGTTGGGCTCTCGACTTCTGTTGATCACGCTACATCTCCTCTACAAGTGGAATTCTTGGCAACTAGAAGGGTTGTATTGTTCGTGTTGGAACTATTTCTAGATGGGAGGCCCTTTTGTTTTGAAGATTCTGCAATAGCTTTGGCAGCTTGATAGGAGCATATTTACGCAACTTAGTTAGCTTGTTTTCTTGCATTTATGTTGTTAGTTCCTAGTTATTTTAGTATTTTAAGCTATTTTCGTGTGTTTGTAGGTCTAAAGGGCTAAAGTAGCAAGAAAGTGCAATTTGGAGCAGTTTTGGGCTTGGAATGGATAGCACATGTATGGAGCAAGGTAGATGGACAAATTTGAAGATCAAAATAAGCTAGGAATGTGCTAAAGAGATGAAGGAAATAAATTCAAAACAAGGAAGATAAGGAAGCTCAGCAAGAAAGAAGGAATGTTAACCAAGTTACCTTATTTTGTCATAATCCCACACCACCTAATTTCCAATTGCAAGGAGGATCTCTAAATATATTAGGACACTTAATTACATGGTTCTAGAAGGACAATCCCAATCAAAGAAGGTTGCCGCACCTATCCCTTTAAATTTCCTTCCGTGCCGCACAAGGAACCTTTAGGAGCTGCCGCATATCTTTCCCTTTATTCTTAGGATTCTGACATTTATTTCTCCTTCTCCTTGTGAATTTGGGATCAAACCTGTTTACCAAATAAGTTAGGCCTTGGTTTTCTTAAACCTATAAATAAAGGCCCTTGCCACAACCTTTAGGATCACCCATTGACTACTATTGATACTTTCAGCCATTCTTTCATACAATTCATCACTCAAACCTTCACCCACACCTTGTGCCACAACAAAGAAGAAGAAGGAGGACCCTTAGACGTGCTTGCCATTCAAGCTTGGATTGCTGGAACACTCTTAGGTGTAATCCATCTTTTGTTTTCAATGTTTAAGTTTAATTATCTTTGTTTTGCGAACATGAGGAGCTAAACTCGTTTTAGCTAGAGGAAAATTCAAAGCCATGAACATATTTGCAATATGAATTGATTACTTTCAGTTGTGATTTCATAAATCATGAATGCAATTTACTTAACTGTTTGATTCATAACTTATTCTTGTTTGTTGATTAAGGATGCATACTTAGTTTGCATGCATGAATTTGATGCTAGAATATAAGGGAGTTTCACCTAATTGTTATGAACTTATATTCATAAGTAATGGAGGTTGCTAGTCACAATCGTGTTAAGTAAATTCCTGGCAGGAGTATCATGATGTTTGTTGATGCACAAAACCGGAGGTCTTAGAACAACGTAAATCCGACCGTGAATCTGCAAGTAATGTAAATGACACAAGATGTATCGTGGTTCACCCCAAGGTTTGGGTTACGTCCACACTGATTATGTATTTATTTGAGAGTATTTGTGAGGGAGAGAGCTCTGAGAGCTTTGCTCTAGATATGAGAAACTTAGGGTTTATGAGGGTAAGGAGGCCCTTTTATAGAATAAGGGCTCATCCCCTAATTACATATTTGCCTCTCCTTTATTACATAATTACATTTAAGTCATCCGAGTATTTATACGAGGTCTAAATACGAGGCCCTAAATATGGTATAAATAGTAGTCCCCCAAGTCTTCAGTCAAGAGAGTCTTTTGGCTAGAGACTTGAAATTCAGTCCATGTGTGGGCCGAAGTAACTAGATGTTGTCTTGAACTAATGCTCGATATGAGGCAGTGCTCAATCTGACACGACGCTCAACTAGAAGTAGCACACGCTGCGAGGCTGCTCGGCTCGTGGCTTATGTTGCCTTAGTTGGCTCGGTTTGCAGCATTTGAAGGTGAGGGAGTCCCTTTTATAGAATAAGGGCTTGCTCCTCAATACATGAATGATGGGCTAGAGTTGATGCTCTCTAATGATGGTGAGGGAGTCCCTTTTATAGAATAAGGGCTCGTTTCTCAATACATAAATGATAGGCTAGACTTGATGCTCGCGGCGAGGCGGTTGCTTAGTAAACGACGATGCTCTCTAATGGTGGTGAGGGAGTCCCTTTTATAAAATAAGGGCTCGCTCCTCAATACATGAATAATGTGCTAGAGTTGATGCTCTATAATGACGGTGAGGGAATCCCTTTTAAAAAATAAGGGCTCGCTCCTCAATACATAAGTGATGGGCTAAGTCCCCCAAGTATTTTTCATGAGGCCCAGTTAAGGCCCAATAGATGGTACATAATGCAGTCCCCCAAGTCTTCGGTCAATAGAGTATGTTGGCTGGAGACTTCAAATTGAATCCATGTCTGGGCCGAAGTGGTGATTGTTCGAATGCGGTATTTGTATACCATGCACTGAAGCTTTGTAAGTGAAGCTTTGCAAGTGAAGCTTTGAAGCTAGAGCTATGTAAATGAAGCTTTCGAAGTTGGAGCTTTTGTAAATGAAGCTTTTGAAGCTAAAGCTCTGTAAATGAAGCTTTTAAAGCTAGAGCTCTGTAAATGACGCTTTTGAAGCTGATTGACATGAGTGATGCTCATGAATGTTTATGTTGATTGACATGAGTGATGTTCATGAATGTTGTCATGAGTGATGCTTATGAATGTTAACATGAGTGATGCTCATAAATGTTGATATGAATGATGGTCATGAATGTTTATGTATGATTGTCATGAGTGATGCTTATAAATGTTTATGTATGAATGACATGAGTAATGCTCATGTATAATTTGGAGTATTGGGCGTACTTTTGATCACCTGGTTGGTGGCATGAAGGAGAGTACGGGTTGTACATTTCATCACTGGGTTGGTGGCATGAACGGCTAGTTGCCAAATGATATTAGAGTACGGGTTGTACATTTCATCACCTGGTTGGTGGTAATAGCAGCAGATTGCCGAATAATTGTGGAGTACTGGGCGTACTTTTGGTCACCTGGTTGGTGATAATAAAGGGTCTAGCTCTTTTGGGCATATAGACTTTCGCCCTCCACATGACATTGCAGCCCACTATTTAGGGCTTTTTTTTTTACCCTCTTATGGGGTTTGTACATATTACCCTCTGATGGGGTTTATACAGATGTCTCCGAAAGATAAAAATAAATTACATCATAAAAACAATAAAAGCAAATCAC